CCTCCTCGCAGATTTTGTGAGACTATATCTCTTCGAAAGGAAGGCTTTCACAGCAAATCTACAGTGCGCGTCAATTGTATATGCCACCCCGTGATTTTTTCAGTTTTGTGACTTATTTGGAAATTTCGTAAATCGGCATAGCAACCATCGTTTTCAGCGTGTCGGAAAACTAGGAGTGGTGTTGTTTGATTTTGGTTAACGCGTGGATTTGAATTGCTCTGTTCTTTGGAAGAAAATGGGCCGCGTCAATTGCTTATGCCATCCTAAAATTTCTTCAGAATTTTTCATGTCTCTAACGCTATTCAGCTACGGTGTGCATGTAGTACAAATGAGGAAATCCTCGACTAATGCAATGCACAAAAATGGTGGAGCATTTATAACTAATTGGTTCGGAATGCTAGCCCCAATACTGGACGGTAGCAGCATGAAAACGCTTTATCAGAGAAAGTGCTGTGTGTCCAGTCTTTCGATCGCTCCTGCTGCTTATTGTAGGACTCATCGAGGAGTGTATCAAGGCAAAACTGGAGAAATTGAAGTGCTTCAGGAGCCCTTACTTTCACATTTTCCCGCTTTGAATCCGTGGTCAACTTTATTTGTGGTCTTGGATCCCTGCGAAGCTCGAAACGTTCACGCTCACAAAGTCTCTTTTCGGAGAGAATATGAGTTGCACACACAATCCGCGTAGGACCCATCGCCGAACTTTGTCGCATTCTCTTTAAAAAAAATTTGTACCGAGCGAGCGAAAATGATGACATGGGCCAGCTGTAACTTAAACGGGACATCGAAGTGGTGGCATGGGCCATCATTTCATCGCCTTGATAAGAAAACTTCGATCGAGTCCAGTGACGGGTACCAAACGGGTAGTAGGTACGAGTCATGTTCTCTCTAAAAAGAGACTTTGTGAGCTTCAACGCTTCGAGCTTCGCAGGCAGCCAAGACCACATATAAAGTTGACCAGATTCAAAGCGGGAAAATGTGAATGTAAGGGCTCCTGAAGCACTTCAATTTCCCCAGTTTTGTCTTGATACACTCCTCTATGAGTCCTACAATAAGCAGCAGGAGCGATCGAAAGACTGAACATACAGCACTTTTTCTGATAAAGCATTTTCATGCTGCTACCGCCCAGTATTGGGGCTAGCATTTCGAAAAAATTAGTTGTAAATGCTCTACCATTTTTATGCATTGCATTAGTCGAGAATTTCCTCGTTCGTACTAGATGCACACCGTAGCTGAACAGCGTTAGAGACATGAGAAATTCGAGGAAACTTTAGGATGGCATAAGCAATTGACGCGGCCCATTTTCTTCCAAAGAACAGAGCAATTCAAATCCACGCGGTAACCAAAATCGAACAACACCATTCTTAGTTCTCTGATACGCCGAAAACGATGGTTGCTATGCCGAGATACGAAACGATAAATTTCATTGCTGATGCAATATCGAGAAAGCCCAAACTCGTTAAACCGCTAAATATTTCGTGCTTTAAATAATGGTGAGTGTAGATAAATGATAAGCACCAGCTCCTCACTTCTGTTAGAAGGCATATTTTGTTTCCATTCTAGGAGTGATAGCAAAAAAAATCACGCGTATTCTAGATGGACATCAGCGAAACTAGGAAAGGTCTGGCACATTCAATGGTAAGGTGGTTAACCCTTTGACGACCGTGTGGCCCGCCGGTGGGCCACACGTTCGCTCGGTGGCGACACGTTTTTAGGAGTTTATTCTGGCATTTTTCACGTTTTCAAACTACAGAAATACATTATCGAATTCGCGGAATAATGCGCTAATTACTAGTAGTGAAATTGTTGGAAAGTTAATGATTATTGATGAAAAAAATTAGAAAGAAGTGAAGTGACGCATTCACAACGGCGGTCGTCAAAGGGTTAATGGAGTGCCTAATGCTGATATTCCATGGATCCTCAGGATTCGCTAGAACCTGCCGCGCGATGCGCGCGATAGCGCATGGAGCAATACTGTTGGATCAAACATTCCTTCTGAATGGTAGCGCTGGTGAAAAGGAAATTGGCACTCACTCATGAATTGACCTCATAGATGATCATGATGACGTGCGGCTCATCGAAAAGCAGTAAGTGTTCAAACCTTGGGCGCTTTATCCCTATCGTTCCTTGTTTTTTGATAACCAGAGTATAAGGAGCATAACGAACTTGTCTTACAAGTTTACACAAGTCAAGTTTAGTTAAGGAGAAGTAAATATCATTTCTACTCGTGAATGAAAGATTGATGAACCTACATAGATCAGTGGGTTTGCCAGGACGGGAGCAGAGAACCGGAAACTCGGTCTCTACATGCGCAGGAACAAGGGATCCCGGTCTTAGATGGGAAACTGTTCCTTTACGCAGTACGATTACGTACTGTTTGACCGGCTTCTCCTCGATTCGAGCTTCCTTGTTTCCCAGAGCTCTTCCTAAAGAAAATAATTCAGATAAAAAACGTTATGGAAAAACCATGATGTGGTTTACAAGAATCTTATCAAGTATTCTAAAGAAATGGAGGCAGGACCTCCGAAGTGCGATGCTTAACTCACGCTGGTGGCGGCCTATCGGGGGTACCTGGGACGCAAACTCTTCAGACAATGAACGCCTATATGACCCGCCATGTGATTTTATGACGTTAGTTTCGGATATTTCTCATATAAGAGTAATAACAAGGGTCCAAATAGGGGTGAGGCATAAGGCATGGTGGAGAAACTAAACGTCAAAGATGAGATAGAAGAGTAACATTTCTTCTGCTTTCGATAAGTTCAATCATCCGCTTCAGCATGCTTTAAAGGCACAACCCAGGCAGAGGTTTTTTATAACTCTTCTCTTCGGTCAGAAGTATAGAACCCTAGGGGACAATCACAAATGTGGCATTCACGTGCACGGAATTCGACCGACAAGAACGCTTTGGGCTTGCAAAGTAAGCTGCTCGAGCTGCAGCGAACGAGCTCTCTTATCAGGCCGTTGTCTGGTGCTCTCTCATCTAATGCGCTCTCTCGCCCCATACTCTCCTCTTCGCGCTTAGTCTGTCGTTCCTTTAGCACAGCCAATTAAGAAGGTGAGTGAGCCCTCAACCTGAGCGTTTTCGACGGATTCTTTTCCTTTTTTCTTCACTGCCGGCCCACTTGGCAACGATACATTCACATTCGTGTGCAAGAGCCACACCAGCGCGATCCTGGGGCATGCCTTTAAACAAACCTCAAAATCGTTTCCCGCGATATCTACTCTTAAGTCTCCTAGTCGGCGTTTTTCTGCTTTTTTTCGTTCTCAAACTGTCTGCAGTTATCGCAAACGGTGTGAGTATGCCGCATAGGTCCTTTATCGGATTCAAGTAAGGAGATTCGCGTTTCTCTCTTGGGACCACTCCATTGTTGAGACACATACATGAACGGTGGCGATGTCTTGCTGGAATTTGAGCTTAAAGGGTGGAAATCGCTGCATGTATGGTACCGAATTGTTTTGGGGGATGTTCGTTCAGCCACTGGAGTTCAAACGTTGCGTGACAAAGACCAGATCAATCTTACAAAGTGCTGTGGAGACAGACCACACCGTGACATTGCCGCCACCGAATCCGCGTCTGGAAAAGTAGCGTGGCTCCTTCCTCAAATCGCGCCAGTAGCTCGCTGGACCATCGGGTCCATCCAAATTAGACTTCTTTTCATTGAAAAAACCCCGTCTGGAGCACTGCAGTGTGTGGTATTATGTGCGGAATCCGCCAACGCAGAGTACCTCATCCCACTGACGAGTCCAGCCTACGTGTTCCTTCGCGAAAAGGACTCCTGCTCCTTCATGCGCACTCGTCAGACACGGCACAGTCTTTGAGGGATGGGGAGACATGATCTGAGCACACAATGACCAGTACTTCTCGACACATAGGGCGCTGCTTCCTTTCTCAGCCGCCTCACACCCTTTATGGAAGCAGCATAGAGAATTCGGCGCTTCTGCATTTCCAGAACTTTCCTAGGTTCCTCGCTCCTTTCTTTCGTACCGTAGGAGTCGAAGTTGTTGCAGAAATTGCTCACCAAGTTGACTGGTCGTCTAATTTTCTTGACATACCGCGGTGGCTGAGTCGCATATCCTTGTAACCCGAATTTGGCTTTTCTTAAAGTCGTGCACGTGCAGTCCTCGTGGCATGGGACTGTAGAACAAGTGTGGGAAATAGAGCGGTGACAAATTGGTTTAACAACTCATCTAAGTCTTTGTCCGTTGGACAAAGTCCAACGCGACGACGAGAGTAATGCCGAGAGTGAACGTACGCACGGAGAAGACGGCTCGCGGGTGGCGAGAGTAAATGCCGGTGCGGAGAGCCGTCAACATCGGTCCAACGTCGCTCCAATATTGGTCCAACGTAACGGTTGACCCTGGTCAGAAGCACTGCAGAAGAACCGAGTGTCTCTTTGGGACGCCATAATTTCAGAAAAAAATCGTGAAAAATTTGCAAAAAATTTTTCTTCCACTTTCACTTATGTATTTGTACCTTGGTGTAATATTGCATTGTTGATAAAATTGGGAGGGTAATCATTTGCTTATAAAAGAAATACTTAAGGAAAATAGGGTGTCTCTATACTTTTGGAACGCACTGTATATAGTGATTCAGTTAGCGTTATTTGCATAACACTTGTAAAATTAATGACGTGACGGCATCACCGTTGTGTTCTTCGCTGAGGCTTGTGCTCACGACCTCCTCGCCTATCACTGGAGCAAATATGACCCACTGTCGAGGATTTTCTTGAAAGCGACCCACCCTGGTCAGGTCTCGAGCCCATGTGAAATAAGTCATGAAATAATCGTTTTCGTTAAACTGTGGTGTCACACTGCAAAGACCTGGGATTCTAGAAAGCCTGTACAATCATCATCATAAAACACAATAAACTATGTAGTACTAGGAACCATTGGTTTTGAGTGGGAGGGAAGCTACTATCGTCACTAAACAGTATGGTGAAAGCTAGGTCCTCACACAGCGATTGTCGCCTGTATTAGATATCTGGTGCAGAGGGAGATCATCGCCACAAAAGATCCGAGGACAATGGCACTTTAGCGTGGAAAGGCCTTGCTCTCAAGTTGTGCGACTGAAGTGAAGAGAAGACAGCGCTGAGACTAATTAGAAGAGTGAGTATTGTCACGACTTCCTTTGAATTCATATGATTCCTTCAGTTGAGCGAGAAATTACGAAAAGTATTTGTACATCATGAAGGAGCACGCACCAGTGTGAGCAGTGGCCAGGAGCCGAAGGAACTCAGATGTAGCCTTCTCGCGGCCCAAGGTGTGCTAGTTGCAGCGCCCCGGCTGCCAATCCTTTCTGAGCTCCGCCACCGCCTGTGCTCCGCCATCATTTTGATAACGTATTCCACTTCGAATCCCGTAGCATTCCCATGGAGTGCGTTCTCAATTAAATCATGGCCTTTGCTAGTAAGATGGTGGCTATCAGTTTAACATGTGCAAACGACCTCTTAGGGTTGCTAGTTGTCCATTATCGGGGGTCAACGGGCAGAGAAAGAGATGCTATATTGCGCGTTTCCGGACTTTGTTTGCTTTTTTTCGTCACTAGGGCATATTCAGCATCTCCACTCCCACTATGAATCCAACCCAATCCTGTCGTAATTCCTCGCATTAAGGGAAGCTTCAGAAGAAGTCGCAACTACTCGTTATTTGCTTATACCACTGATTTTCTCCAGTTCTGCGACTTTCGAATTTGCATGAATCAATTACTAAGTATACAGTTAGTAAGAGTAGGGTTTGCGCTGTATGGTGGAAAGGTTAGAACTTAAGAGCTCAGCTGGACAATTTTTCCCAGTCTTTTTTGCCACATAAGGTCAAAACGCACCCTTTTTGAGCACACGTGAGTAGCAGATGAGCACATTTATTAGAATCTCTTGTGCAGTCAACTTCGTTAAAGCGTTTGTGCATCATTTATCAGTTCAAGGCGTCCTACCATTTCAGTACAAGGCTGGTGCAGCCCCGTCTTGACTGATTTAGAGCCACCTTTTTGACGACGATTGCAGGCATCACTTCGAAGACTTCACTGTCTTTTGAGAAAACTGTGGAAAACCGATGAGCATATTGGATGGTAGTGTTCCCTCCAACAACTACAGGTGGTTTGGTGAGCGGAAGTTGTAGCTCTTAGCAAGAATTTTGAAGCATTTGGTACACACATGCAAATTTGCACACTGGACCCAGGAATTTTCAAAAAAAAGTATAAAAATTGGGTGAAAGTAAAATTGTGAACCAACAATAAAAAACAATAAGCAACATCTTTCGCAGTGTTGATAAGCGAAAAAGACTTTTTGATTTTCCATTAATCGGCCCCAAAATTTCCTGAACTCAGAAAAGCGACACTAAAATATCCGGTACCTAATAGAATATTGTCGACTTGTAGCAAGGACTATGCTAACGTCGGTTACGGAGATTCTCTGCAACGTAGAGATTTTGTGTCGATTAAGGAGGAAGGAACATGAGAGGAGGCTGCGCTGCTGCCTCCATTTTACCAAAACGATGTTCGCTCTGCGGTCGAATTTTCATTGCCTTATACAGTCATTTTTCGCCCTTTTTGCAAGCGCAGACGTCATTTTGGTGGGAGTGTAGGTTTTGATCAAGAAAAGATGTGAAATGTTACTTTCTAGAAGGAAAGAAAAATATACACTGCATGAAAAACGCAAAGAACACGCTACGCCAACAACATCACTGCATTTTATAGCAAGATTCCTTTTTCAATCTCACAATGGGTTTGACAAACACCTCTTTTGTTATAAATGGGGGAAAGCGTAATTTTGTGGACCATTTCCTTCGCCAGAATGTGATGCGATGAAATTTTCTTTTGATCAAATGCCACTATGAGAAAGGTTATCACCTTCGCCGAGATCCTCCACCAGCAATTGACTGAGCTCAGTTGCGTTGTTCTTCACCCACATCATACCATAGCTCGAGAAGAAAGCTTAAAAAATACGAAGAAATAAAGAATCGTCTGCAAGCATTATGAATTTTCAATTTTCAGAATTTCAACATGAAGCAAACTACTCACTTGAGATCCATTTTTGCTCAAAAGTGCTCGTAACCGTATGCAGCTCGCTCCCTTCATTCATCTTACATTTCTCATCTGCGAATTGAAACCTAGCATCAGCATCGTACGAGAAGCACCGTTCACCGATCAAAACATCGCTACCGCACGACATTTCTGCCACTGTAACGAATATATGGTTGAGAAAAATAAAGTGCATATCTTCAAGATCAATGTATTATGCTGCTACTATAATACTTTATCCTACTATGTATATATAATTATATAAAGCGCGTAACTTTGCGTGTTCGGTTTTTGTGTATCTGTAATGCTTGTGTGTGTGCGTGTGTGTGTGTGCGTGTGTTATGTGTTGTTCCGTCCCAAAATGAAGTCGAGGAGAAGGAAGCTCATGCGATAAACAAACCGCTAAACAAATCGGTTAGCTTACAATTTCAAGATATCGGGTTTGTAAGCGCGGGATAGGTTGTGAATAAAACACTCTCAGGGCTATTAACACCTTGCCTAAATACACTCCGTTCCATTCCACATGGTGCTGCAAGTGGCAGTCTGGAGGCACCTGAAGAGAGTGGAGGATGAGGAAGGCAAGCGAAAAATCCCGTCAATATCTATGATTGCGTCCTTCTACTGCATGCAAACACCAATTGTGTTGCATACGCGTCACTTCCAGGTGTTGGTGTCACAGAGGAAGGGACCATAGCGGGAGGATAGAAAGCTTCGCATTAAAGAAGGTCCCGGCGGTTGATCGGGCGAACTAACTGTGTAGTCTATACATCGGGCCCGGCGTGTGTGCGTGTGCGTGTGTGTGTGCGCTGTGTGTGCGTGTGGTGTGCGTGTGTGTGGCGTGTGTTGGCGTGTGTGTGCGTGTGTGTGCGTGTGTGTGCGTGTGTGTGCGTGTGTCGTGCCGTGTGTGTGCGTGTGGTGTGCGTGTGTGTGCGTGTTGTGTGCGTGTGTGTGTGTGTGTGGTGTGTGTGTGTGTGGTGTGTGTGTGGTGTGGTGTGTGTGTGTGTGTGTGTGTGTGTGTGTGCGTGTGTGTGTGCGTGTGGTGTGCGTTGTGTGTGTGCGTGTGTGGTTTCGTCGTGTGTGTTGTGGGGTGTGTGTTGTGTGTGTGTAGTGTGTTGTGTGTGTGTGTGTGTGTGTGTGTGTGTTGTGTGGTGTGTGTGTGTGTGTGTGTGTGTTGTGTGTGTTGTTGTGTGTGTGTGTGTGTGTGTGTGGTGTGTTTGTGTGTGTTGTTGTGTGTGTGTGTGTGTGTGACCGGAATTATAGCTCGAGTCACAGCAATAGTGCTATGGTTGTTACACATGTTATAGGGAGTGGGTTGAGGACACAAGCGGTGAGGGATATAAACTGATAACGACTGATAAAAGTTGATAAGGAGGCTAACAAATCTGGGGGAGCTCGCAGGACTTGGGTCAATGTTTTGCAATGGCATGATTGTGATAACATCCCAACTGCTATATAAACACCCCCTGAGCGCTTATCCGTTTATTCCGCATGGTGCTGCAGTAGCAGCTGGAGTAGAGTGGGGTGAAGGGGGAGGGGGTATTGGTTCGGGGGAGGGGAGGCGGAAAACCAATCACCAACAGACCCAGGTGCGGTTGGGTTTTGATATGTCATTATAAGACGTAAAGCGTTCGCAGGGAAAGAAGGTTGCGGGGGTTGACGGGGACCAGCCTGGATTGTTAAAGGAATCTTCCTCGGAAAAAGCTCCGCCTCTGTTACCCTGGAAGAAGATACTCCTTAGGCCCCTAGCCTCATGAGCATAGCAATGAACGGAACATAAGCGTTAATTTCGACAATACTAATCCTACACACAGGACAAAATGATCACTCTTTCCGTGGATGATTCCTTTAAGGTATCGCTTTCTGTGGAAAGGAGGGCGGAGCTTTTCCGTGGAAGATTCCTTTTATATGGGAGTCGATAAGGTCGATTCATGAAGAACAATATTCTTCCTTAGCGAAGTTTTTTCGACACCACCGCTCCTTGCATGTATTCAACGTTTATTGAAAGTGTGCTATTAGCCAAGCCTTTGAAGCAGTGAAGTGTGTGTAGTTAAAGCACCATTAACACTCACTTATCGTACACACCGTATTTTCACCATGCTTAGCTTCTTTCAGCGAAAACGGATGCTGCATATCGCAAAAGTCTATAGCGTCATGATTACTTGCCGTGAAGACTTTGTAAGTAACCTCGCAGGTGTTCGTATCTCCCTAAAAAATACTAGTTTTGCAGCATTTGTAATTCTTTGGCGCAGATGTGAGATCACTTAATGTTCTGTTCATCATGACCCAGCTTTTTTCCAGCTGTGGTTGGTTATGGACTATTGTGCGGGCATCTCCACCACAATGTGCCGATAGGAAGGGACAGAAGCGGAGTCGTCAAGACACATGCAATGGGAGGTCGGCGATTTCGGGATGACTAATCCATCAAGGAAGAAAAACACAGAATGATATACCGAACTACACCACCTTGCTTACGAGGGAGGTCGCTCAGGGCGTGGAGCGCTTTCTGTAAACGGTTTTTTGCATGGTATAGGGGCGTGTGCACTGAAAACAGAACTATGGTGCATTTCCGCTGAATGGCCCTCTGAATCAGAAGATTTTCCCCATGGAGATCTGGTGCAAGGGAGGTGTTTAAGGAGGTCGTCGAACGACCATTTACCGTTTAGACGTTACCTGAAACACTGGTCAAAAGCGATCTAGTATATTCACAGCTAATATTTCCATATCTGCTGAACTCTTCTCTGAAGGAATATGACAAAAAGCGCAGACTATGGTCAAGGCTCACGAAAAGAGTCAGGGATCAACTCCCGTTGAGTTGTCTTGGCCGTGTCAGTAAAATAGCTAAAGACTCTTACATTGATAGCTCCGACAGCTTGTAATATTAACAGTAAAAAATTGAAGGGCAATTAATAATGAACTTGCGCACCGCTCCTCACCACTTGGGCGCATTAGCGCAGGCGCCAGGCATTTGCTTCAACAATAAATATCGTACAGGAGTCCAAACTCATCCCTAGTTGCACGAACCTCACGAATTCCTGAAATTGGACCTAACCTCGAAAATTCGGCAGTCACGTTAGTACTCACCGATCATCCAATCCACTTCCAGAGGCGGCAACTTGGTAAAACAATTTGTTAAAACTTTCATAATAACCGAACAGTGTCTGCGTGCCCGCTGCATCACCGAAATCTACAAACCATTGTCCTAAACAAACTCGCTCCCTCTCCCTGTCGTCCATATGCAACCAAAAAATGAGTTGAGAGTGTAATTCTCTCATCACTTGCCCCGCTTTTCTCATTAATTTCGTCGCCTCAGATTGGCGAAAAACCGCTGTACGAGTAGTTTGATCCCTCTGAAACAATCCTCATCACCTACTTGCCACGAAAAAGCAATAGCACACTGCACTACGCAAAAAAGGCTTTTCAGCCATGTGAAAAAACAAAACCACAACCCCATGAGGGACCGGGAACTCCCGACCCCTCCTCAAAACACAACCGCTACCACCTGCGCTATTCCGAACCCACCCCACCGCTGCCTTTCGTTCTCCCTTCGATACTTCATGGTGGCGCTAACATTGATTAGCAGTTAAAGCACTGCCAATCAATGGCGGCAAACAAAAACTCCTCCGTAATCCTTCAGAAAGATCAGCAGAATAGCGAAAGCAATTTGAGTCAGCGTCTCATGCGACAGAAATATGCACCCTTCATTGCCTGGGTTGGCCTAATGATCCTTCCTTGTAAACTATCAATGATTAACGAATTAAGAAATTAGGCAGGCAGCTGTCAAGCCGGAGGATATGCTACTTGAGCTGACGTGATTCCATAATGACGTCATTATTTTAGTACGATCAAGAACAATAGAAGCAGACCCTGTTTTCCTGTCTTAATTGAGAGACATGCTACGAAGCATTCTGCCCGTAAAACTTTATGCGTCGTGCAACTATTTGCAAAGACGTGACTCTTTTTTTGCCCCTCCTCCTCTCATTCATCAGTGGAAAGAGATGCAAGAATTCCCCCCGAGGAGTCCTAAAATCTAATGTATGCTACCTTTATAAACTCCCTTTGCCAAAATTGGGGGGGCTTTAACAAAATATTCCTATTGCTCTACTGAAATGAAATATCATATTAAATCATGTCATCGAAATGACATAGCAAATTGCTCAAGCGTGAATGTTCATCATTCGTATGGCGAAACTGTCTCATTCGCAAGCAAGTGGCTATAGGGGTGGTTAGTAGAACGGGAAACCGATACCGTTAGCTATAATCTCTAAGTAGTGCAAGGTGGTGTAGAGAAGTAGGTATGCGTGAGTATAGGATGATGTGTGTATTCCTAGGAGATCTACGCAGAGCAAGTGCAGATTGTCGTGAATGTGTGCGTCCGTCTAACCTGTTCACGAAATCTGGTAGCTCATGCACCCAACGTCAGCATTTCTTTCTGACACCGGGGGACAAGGACGGAAACATTTAGGACGGATGATAATGATAATTGACTGGTGATCACGCCCATGTTGATCAGCTACTTCGCCATTGCCAGCCAGGGTCAACCGTCACGTCGAATCATTTCGGGATTTGCGATCCCCTATCTCTCGAGGGTCCAGCTGCCACCCCCATGTTTTCGCTTAGTACGAGTACTAGACATGAATCCGTGCGACCAGAAGCGTCGCGTCCCGCCGCCGCAGGAAAGCGCTGCGTTACGGCGCAGCCTGGAGCCCAGCAGTCTCCACGCCCAGGTGATACCTGCGCTGCAGAAGAAGCGACCGCGCAACGCCGCAAAGAAACATTTTTAAGAGCGGGGATGACTTTCTTGCCGTTATTTTTGGGACTTGTTGTAGTAGATTTGATCTGTGCCTGAGGTGGCGCTTATCAGAAAACTTGCAAGGAATGCCTAAGCTCTCGGATGTTTCACATAGAATTCTGGGTGCGAAAGAAACTTCGCGCGGAAAGTAGCTTCTGTTAGAAGTGGAACAACCCAAAATTCTAAACGGCGCACCTTCAACTTTAAGCCCATAATATCTTTCGTGTGCAACCTTTTGGAACTCGTAAACAAGTTTTAGAAAACTTTTAGTTTTTCTCATATTAAAGCATAGATAAAGATTAGTAAATGACCGCCTTTTGTCAAGCAAATTGTCCCGTCGAATCGTTTGCAAAGCGAGTTTTTGCTTTCACGGCCAAAAACAACACGTCATTTCTATAGCTATATCCACTTTTTTCATGAGAAGAAGCACAGGATTATCCTCTCTGACAACACCAAGCCGTTTTCAAAGCTAACTTTTCGAGAAAATCATAATCATAACATGTTGGTTGTTGCCACCAGACACTTTTTTGAGAATCGCGAGTTCTTTGGCTTTCACGTCCAGAACCCACTTTAAATTTCCCAATCTGGTGATATCACCTTTTTATAGAAGAAAGTGCAGGATAATGAGGCAAATCAAAAGTTCGAGCTTTTTTCACCCTGGGTTTTGAGCAGCACATGAGTGTTTTTGAGCTTCAGCAATGATAACTTCTTTGAAAAAGCTTGTTGGAGAGGAAAGACATTTGAAGATTACGAGATTTCCGCTTCCTTACTTGTTTAAAAGTACATGGAAGAAGCGTCGACAAAATAATAGGTTAATAAGAACTTGTTTCATCGACGAAGTCAACACCTTTCATAGGATGCATCCAACTGTTCTTTATCCTTAAGAAAACACTATAATTTGGCTAAAACTGTCTCTTTGTGCATAATAAATCGAAATCTAATCCGATCTGCACAAGCAATTTCTTCCTCGCATACGCAGCGCACGAACGCGCCCTGGCTCGCAGTCTCGACATTGCGACCCCCTTCCAACCAAAATGCGCACTCCCTTATTCGAACATTCGAGGGCACGGGGGTTGACCCTGTTTCGCAGCGCTAAAGTTCCCCGTTCAACACCAGCAATTCGTCAGTGTCGTATACTGCAGCATCCGACCACTATGCGTGAGAGCCGCTCCTTTGGGGGGTTCAACACTCGATCAAACGTCTGCATTAGAGCGATTCGTTACCACTGCACTGGAGCCTTATTGCCGACGTGCAGGATTGTACAGAAAAGGACTACATAAACATGTTGAAATCTCGTTGTGTTGTTCCCATACTTATACCAGATCAACGTAGAACCGCGCCGCTACTCCATCAAAAATCAATGCAAGGCGACCTTTCCCCTTTCCACAAAATTGGCTTCTACCACGCTATAGTGGCAGTTTGAGTGTCATATGTAAAATCCTTAGAGGATACTAAGCGACCTCCTGCGTCCTCACGTACGCACTATTCTTACATTTCTACGTTCTTTGACAGCGTCGTTTTTAAGGGTGTGTTACTAAAAGTAAGCCTCCAACTGCCACTCATGAAGGGTTACCTATTATGAGTGAAGCTCAAACTCACTTAGACTTTTCCGAAGGCAAATCCTTGAATTATGAGATCAGATTACTGCCGTCCCTGGTAAGGATTGATAACCAACGTTAGAACGGAAGAGTCGCAAAATTGGTTGTGCGTATCCTAGCAGCAGTGAGGCTTTGGCTCCGACACGTCATCTAGGGTGGGACGGGCGCATGTTCAGCGGGTGATAGAGAATGATAAAGCCCGATGCGAGCTGATAAGGGCTATTCAAATCAACGGCTTCCGTGGCGCGTCCGCGTTGACATTGGTCAGTGGTGTGGGACGAAGACATACTTGGTGGGTAATGGATACTAATCACAGCTACGCTAGAATGCAAATGTTTCTTCGTTGTGCCGTTCGCGGTGGCACTGAAACATTGTTGCTCACGTTTAGTGAGGGGGAACGGGATACATACAGCAGATGATTGAAAGTGGTAACACTATCGTTGCTCATAAGGAGGATCAGAATCTTCGTACCACCACTTTTGTTGCGCTTGTCGCGGTGATAGTGGAAGGTTGGTTCCTATATGAAGTGTAGTAAGGAGGGGTAAGGAAGGGAACACAGATGTGGATGATCACAAGTGATAACTGAAAGGATCTACACGAGGACCAGAAAAAAAGCCATTTTGCCCAGGTCGCACTTCGGCCTTTTTTTTTCTTCGCAGAATTGCCGTCACTTACAGAAGTTCCTCAGCAAAATATTCGCTGAATGTCCATCTATAGGTACACGCGGGCCCTTCCTCACTACC